CGCGAACGCGAGGGCGATCAGGGTGGCCCCAGGGCGCAGCTCGCGGCGCACTGCAGCCCGCGGGCGCCAGGCTCAGCCCCCGGCCTTCTCCGCGAAGGAGTACGTGGCCGCGAAAACCGAGAGGGGCCCGCGCCTGATTAGGCAGGCCCACGTGCAGTAGCCCAGCAGCTGCCTGACCTGCCCGCCCGCCAGGGCCCTGGACTCGGCGGCAAAGAGGAGCGCCTGCTGAATCCTCCACAGGCGAGCGCGCGAAAAAGACGCCCGCCCGCTGGCCCGATGGAAGATCCGGCCTGCGAAGATCTGCTCGCTGCACGGCTCGACAACCCCCCTGGTCAGCAAGCCGCGCTGCTCTGAGGCCTCCTTCACCTTGATGCAGCCCCGCAGGCGCTCCGCAGCGTCTGTGCCCATGATGGCGACCCCGTCGACGTGGGTGGCCGCGGCCGTGGGCCCCTCCGACCTCGGGGCCGCCCGTCGGTCCTCGACCAGCGAGGCGGGCGAGAAGCCGCTACGGAGCACGCGCTGGGTCACGATCTCCCGGCAGAAGTACAGTGACCAGCTCCATCCCGCAGGCAGAACCATCAGACGGGGCGAGGCCACTCCTCCTTCAAGAACTTCGAGATCAAGACGAGCCGTGGAGATCCACCTCCCCGAAAACAAAGAAATCGGAAGAGGCCGTCGGGGACGGCCACGCGGTAGGAGCAGGCCTCGATGTCCACCCGGGCAAAGTTCAGCTCCTCGCCCGGGGGGGCGCGCATGCCTCGCCACGCTCCAGCGGTGTGGAGCGAGGTGTGCGCTGGCTGCTCGGGAAACTGGCCCACCCGTCGCGCGTCGAGGATCAGCCAGAACGCTCCCGAGCCCTTGGGCGCAAAGAAGATCCACGGCGTCGCCTCGCACAACGGACCGAGGCCCACCGCGCCAGCGTCCAACATGTCGCCCGCGAACTGTGCGTGGGACGTCTAGCTGCGCATGAGTTTGGGGTCGCAGTGGGGCTTCACCGGCTCGCCAGCGGGTCGAGGCCGCGACGGCACCCTACGCCAGCCCTCTCATAGATCACACGCCTCCCCCTGGAACAGCTCAGCGCAATTGCACTTCGGACCCGGGGTCGGCAGCGCGACGAGCTCGCGCTTGAAGGCGGCGGGCCTCTGGGGCTCGGAGAGGCACCCAGGAGCTGATGCACGCAGCTCTCGAAAGGCTGCCGCGCCTGAAACGTCCGGGGCGCCGACCCTTTGAACTGCATCCACGCTGATAGCCAACTCTGTCCGCTGCTGAGCCGACCGAGATCAGGCCCGCCCCCGCGTCCGTAGAGGCAAATCAGCGCCACGAAAACCTCGTCCGCCCAGGGGTCGACGAACGACTGGCGACGCGCGCGCGAGCGCACCGCCCGGCAGCAAGAGGAGCCCCCATCGCTGCCCGTACGCCCCGGGATCGATGCAGGGAGCAGATCCCGGGGCACTGGCATCCTTCGGTCACTTGCCGCAGCGGCCGCCACCGCGGCCGCCGCCATTTGCCTGGCCGCCGACGGCGGCCTGGCGGGCCTGGAGTCTGCGAAGCTCCGCGGCCGTGGACTCGATCTTCTTCTGCAGGGCCCCCTTGGCGTCGCTACTCGGGCCACCTTCCCCTCGTGCGAACTGGCGCTCCTCTCGAAGATCCCTCCTCCCCTTCATGGTGGCACTCTCGCGGCGCAACTCGCTCAAGATGCGCTCCACGGGGGATGGGGCCACCATAGTGTGCACTCGGATCTCCACGGTGCCCATGTACAAGTGTTCGTCCTTCAACGTCTCGTCGGCCTGCTGGGCTGCAAGATGATCACGGCACCTCCACTCCGCCATCTACGCCCGTCGGGCCAGCACCGAACACCGCAATCTCACTGATGTCTCCCTGATCGTAGCAGAGGCCGATTTCGAAGGAAGGCTCGCATCGCCACCTCTGGATCAGCCACCACCGGGTTCGCGAGGGTCAGCCCCGCCTCGTCGAGCCACTGGACGCGTCAGGCCCTGGGGTAGCGTTCCTGCTCAGTTCTGAACCGAAGACGCCAGCCCCTGGCCCTGGAGTCCAGAGCAAGAGCCAGACCTCCAACGGCGTATCCAGGACCGTCTCGACCGTAATCCTGAGGGACCGCTTCCGCCTGCCATGCGCCGAATACTGAATCGGGAAGATGCGAACGCCCAATGCGAGCTGAATGTCGCCATTCTTGGGGTCCGCGGCCCACAAAAATACCACCCCACCGCCGAACAGGCCCACGGCGAACTCTCCAGCGTAGCCATACTCATCCAGGGCACCCGCGGCCCCACGCTGTCCTGCCCGGGGATTCCCGCAAGACGGCACCACGCAACACTCCAGCTGCTTCAGCGCCGGCAAGACTTCATCCTCGATCTCGAGCACTCGAGCCCCCGCTGCAGCTGTCCACATCGCGGTGGCTGCTGGGACTGCTTGCTTCCCACGAAGGCGTGTCGTCAGCACGGGCCCTGGGTCCGCCACGAAGTCGATTGCTTCCACGACCTCCAACAAGCCGGGCCCCCAATCCGAACCGTAATCCGGTCTCGTGGCCGTGCGCCGTGCGCCGAACGTCTCCACCATGCTGCTCGAACTGTCCAGCACCTAGAGCCCAGAGATCCTCGCCAGGTCCCGCGCGATGGGATACACTTCGAGGTGCGGGCGCATCCAGTACCAGATACGCCTTGTCTTGACGACGGCGGCGTCGACCTTCACGAACCCACCGAGCCAGATCAGCACAGCGATGAGGGGCCCCATACGCACCACCCAGTCAACCACCACGCAGTCCTTGGCTTGGTCCCCTGCGAGGAGAGACACGAGGCCGCAGTACGCACGAAATTGCTGATGGGGCGGGCGCCTCCGAGGATTTCCAGAAGAGACTGTGGACGACATGTGCGGGTCGTCCAAAAAGAGCTTGAGCGAAAAAGCAACGGACAGAGAACGCGCACACTCGGCCATGGCTTCAGACGGCCCCACGGCGGACGACAAGCAGGTTTGATAACGGAAATATACACATGTATGTATGTATGCGTGTATGTATGCGTGTATGTATGTATGTATGCATGCATGCATGCATGCATGTATGTATGTATGTATGTATGTGTGTATGTGTGTATGTGTGTATGTGTGTATGTATGTATGTATGTATGTATGTATGTATGTATGTATGTATGTATGTATGTATGTATGTATGTATGTATGTATGTATGTATGTATGTATGTGTGTGTATGTATGTATGTGTGTATGTATGTATGTGTGTATGCATGTAACTATGCATGTACGTAATTGTTCATAATTACATGTATGTAAATGTATAGACGTGGGATCGCCGCCAGCTCGGAAACGGGATGTGTAAGAATGTCAGAAGCGAAACGGCCCGAATAACCTAATTTTGGTTGGGCATGTCCCTGTGCGCCGCCCCCTCGGCCAGACAGGAATTCTATGAGAGTGGGAGCCCTGTCAACACAACTGTTCGTTTGGGGAACCAACGACTCCGAAAACAACCCAGACATCGCATGCGCCCCCACTGGAGCCCGCACAACCTCAGGACAAGGCCTCTGGGAACCCAGAGTTGCGAGCTTCTCCCCAGCGTAACGAGCCACACAACCTCTCCCGCGGCGGCTCGGAGCCCTCAGATGTGAGGACGTCTCAGGCGGAACGGCCCGGACCACGTCGCAAAAAACAGCTCGGTGAAATAATCTGGAGGAGATCTCCAACGAACCCCCCCGTCCAAGGGGGGGGGTAGCTTGCGAAGACCCCCCCTGCACAGGGAAGCCCGCGCTAACCTTCCGCTCTAAAAAGGAGGGGAGGGGTAGCTTGGAAGCCCCCCCCCCCCTGCAATGCACCCCCCTCTGGCGCACAGAAGGGAGTAGAAAGGGAGCTTCGCGCCCCCCCCCCCCCCCCCTGGAAAGGGGATCCCGGGCTTACCCCAGACTCCGAAAAGAAGGGAGGGGGGAGGATAGCTTCTGATCCCCCCCCCGTTTGCTCAGAGGGGAGGGGGTAGCCACGGAAGCCTTCCCTCCTTTGAAAAGGAAAGCCTTTCTGAAGGGAAGGGGGGGGGAACTTTAAGCTGGGGCCCCCTTTTCTTATTCCCGGCCCTGCGGGCGCGTTCTTTCCTTTCTTCCCCCCGCCCCACGTATCGCCCCCAATGCGCAACACCCGAGGGGCGCCAATCATCCGCCTCACCAGGTCTGGCCGGGTCGGGCCCAGCATGGACTGAGCCCAAGATCGGTGTACAGACCCTCCTGGCTCAGCTTGGGAGGAGGCATGTAGGATTAGGTCGGGCATGTCCCTCTACAGGCGGATTGTGGACGAACAATTAAAAACATAGAACAAAAATCGTCCCCACACTATTTTGGACTATTTTTGAATATTCCCCCTGTATAGGGACAGGCCCGACTTAAGTGTACACACCCTCCTGGTTCAGCTTGGCAGGAGGCATGTAGGATCGGCCCGGCCAGGGTCGGTTCAGGTGTGTCGAAACCACCACTCGGTTACCCAACTTCGCACATCGCGCTCCGCGATGCGCGATGCGTGGTTCTCTTCGCGCCAAAGCGCCACCCCCTTGAAGAATGGCAACCGGTCTGCCCCAGACCGCGATGCGGGAAGCACGATCATTTTCGCGCCCCTGGTGGTGATCTAAATTCTGGCGTGTTGAACGAAGGGCAGAAGATCCACCCCCATAATGATCCACCCGACATGCGAAGCCATTTAGTAAACGCACCCACAGGAGGAATCGAGCAGCGCAGGGCTGTTTACAAAACGCCCAGGGCCGTTTAGCAAACGCCAATTATTGGGCCCGGGTGGTTTCTCCTGCAATTGATCTAGGGCTCCCAACTTCGTGGTTCGCGCTGCGCGAAGCGCGAATAACTTCGCGCTCTCGCGCCGCCCCCCCAAAGGGAGAAAAGGAGGACGAGGAGGAGGGGGAGAAGGAACGAGGACAGCGAAGCGTGAATAACTTCGCGCCCTCGTGGGAGCCCTTGCTGATTGAAGCCGCCCGATCGTCCGACATCGCAGAACGTCACCATCGCCTGCGCGCAGCTACTGCCGTCGGCAGGGGTGGCGCCCGTGGCCGCGTCCACGGTGGCGAACTGGGAGCCGCCCGCCGCGTCGGCCCCCGCGCTGCGCTCCTTTGGCGCGCCCGTCGCGTGTCCTCAACTCCTCCTCCTCCTCCTCCTCCTCCTCCTCCTCCTCCTCCTGAACTCCTCCTCCTCCTCCTCCTCCTCCTCCTCGTCCTCCCCCTCGTCCTCGTCCTGTTTCTCCTCCTTATCCTGCCCCTTTTCCTTCTCGTTTTCCTCCGCCTCCTCCACCTCCGCCTCCTCCTCCTCCTCTTCCTCTTCCTCCTCCCCCTGCAAAACCCAACGTACTTACACTGCGGATTGAACTAGAAACTGCCTCAACTTCGATACCTCAGGCAAGCTGCAGCGGCCATCGCTGTTTTGGAAACTATGTGAGTAACTCCTTTGGCAACTGCACCGCGTTGGTGCTATGATACGCTCCCCCAAGCATGGAGTCATATAGCCTAGCGCTACCTGCTCGTCATCATCATCATCATCATCATCATCATCATCATCATCATCATCATCATCATCATCATCATCATCATCATCAGCAACAGCATCATCATCATCATCATCATCATCATCAGCATCATCATCCATCTCTCCATCCAGCCTCCTCCTCCTCCTCTTCCTCCTCCTCCCTACTCCGTCCTTCCTCCTCCTCCTCGTCCTCCTCCTTTTTGTCCTCCGCCTCCTCCTCCTCCTCGTCCTCCGTGTCTGTACTGGGATCTTTCACCTTGGCTCACGTCCGCAGTGAACAAATAAAACTGAATAGCAGTAGATCAGCATACTATCGAATAACAGATGCCAGTCAATCTCTCCACCGTGTCATCAAATCAGCGATTGCTACATATAGTTGAGCAAAACCACAAACTCGCTTTCTTTCTTGAAGTCTGTCCACATTTAGCACATACCAGCTATTTACCAACGTCATCAAGTTTGAGTGGAAGTAGGACATGACAACGATGACCTGGCTTTTTGGTGCGCTCGCTATGAGCTTCAATCTCTGCTGTCCACTCTGCCAATGTTCGTCTCGGGCCAAATTTTCGTCCATCCGGATTCTCTGGATTACAAAGCAAACGAGCCCACGCCAACACCGTACATTTCCAGCCCACGCCCACACCGTACATTTCCTTTTGCAATGAACACACTCAATTATTACGTCTCCTTTCTTGGTTGGCCCTCGAGTCGGACCAAGCACATGATAACCCTGAGCCACAACCTCACGATTGTGCAGGATACGTGTCTGCTCGAAAAGGAGATCCTTGCCAGTCAGTCCAGCAAAGTCGGCTCGCTCTGAATCTGTCCATTGTACTGCTGCACTCGCTGTGGCAATAGCTGGAACTCTACTGGCTTGCTTGGCAACACCACTTTCTCTCGCGGCGTGTGCTGCTGAGATGCTGAGGTCGGAGTCTGGGACTGTCTTGCTGAGGTTCCCGGTGAGCTTCGGTACCGTCCACGCCGGAGTAGGCACCGTACCCCAGTGCGGAGCGACTCGTAGCCCGCTATTTTTATCAGTAGTAGCACACGCCACTGAGCATAGCACTCGCATGGTATGCTCGCGATTGACAAAGGTAGGGCGGCACTTGAAACCAGGGACCTGCCGTATCCCCAGAGGCGTCAAAGTACCCATCAATGGTCGCGTCTGCCTTGGCGCCAGAACTACAGCGACATAAGAGGGCCATTCGAGCTGCTGCTGTCGAGAAGTATATCACCATGCGCTCTAGGGTGGCCGTTGCTGCATTCTCTTGTGCCACCAGAAGAGACAGCCCTGTGCATACGGTAAGGTCGATCGCAAACTCTGCCTAGGTAACTGAAGGTGGCGCCGCGGGTGTCATCTGCTTGCCATTCTACCTGTGAAAAAAATCCGGCCGTGGCCGAAACAAATGCCTGCTGATACTTCCAAGTGTTATATCCAAGGATGTCTGGGATCTTCTGTGCGAACGTCCACGATGTAATATTCGGCGCGAGTGGGTCCCAATGACATCCTTCTTGGGACACGTCGCGGGGTCCATAACCATAACTAGATGTGAACTGCTCGAGGTGCCCGTAGTCGCTGCCGTGTTTGTCGCACTCGCCTGTGACGTCGAGACCGCCGTGGTGGTGCTGACTGGACATCGCGACCACCGTGGTGGTGCTGACATGCTGCGATGTCTGCGTAGAGGTTTCGTCTCCAGCACCGTCCTCGGTGGCAGTGGTGGGTCAGGGCCCCTTTCGGGCACTCGTGGCGACGTGATGCCTGGTGGCCCTGATGACGCACCAGGACTTTGCGTTCTAACGCCCGCGGCGATGGAACCTGGAACATGGATTTTGCGCTCGAGCGCCCAGTGTACCCGAACGGGGGCCCAACTGACCCGCCTCGTGGCCATCTCCAGACTGATCCACACTCAGATGCGCCCAAGGGTCATCTTCATCTTCTTCAAGCGCATGCTGATCGATGCCGTCAGTGTCTGCATCAAGAAAAGCCTGTAGATGTGCACTGATTCATTATGTTTGGCACGACCCGTATCACGTAAAGCTGCTGCCCGGCGCTCAAGGCTGACATCACCATTGAGTTGGATGGCATAACATAGCTTCTGATCCTGAAGATGCGGTCGCCGAACTTGCTGTGGAACCGAATGCAGTCGAGCAGCGCGTGCTGCGCCTGCGTCTGCTTACTGATTTCGCTGCCAGAAGGGGAAGCTCTTCTTCTTGAGCGTCACTATGCTTGCGATGCGCCTTGATCCCATGTACTCTGAAGCCTCTCGATGCCCTCGATATCGACTGCTGTCGCTATAGCCTTCCAAAGATCACGATGTCGGCGTGGCTGCATGCGTTGACCTTAAAGTAAAGCCGAAAACTGCCGCCCACAATAATCACTATCCGTAAGATACAACTGTCTGCGCCATGACCAAGGAATACAATGTCTTAGTTCGGCAGCTGCTGCACGCTGGGCCCCCTGCGACACGCTGAGGAGTGGCACCTCTGCGTTGCAAACATGGTCCTATCCATAGTAGAGACAATAACCTGAGCGTCGTAGCCGGAGATCCGATGCCTGCCCGGGGCACGCACCATCACCAGCAACAACAAGGTAACCATCTGGATAGAGAGGCGCCGTATCTTCGCCCTGACCGATCTCATACTCCCCGCCAGCATGATGAGGAGGCGGTGGGAGGTCGAGTTCGCCCGGGAGAAGTCGGGCAGCATATTCGTCGTACTCAGCGCGATCAGGCAGGAGCCCGCACTGCCGTGGGCAGATAAGGAGCTCCTGGATCGAGGCTCCATTTTATGTATCACAGTAGCGGCTTGCGTAGTCGTTCCCAGTACGCGCAATCGTATAATACATGGTCCGTTGTTTCATCAGCAGCACCACAGAATACACATCGTTTGTGAAAAATCTGGCCTGTGATGTAGTGCAACCCATGTCGAGTGATGGTCGCGCCCTGCAGCATCGCACGCAGATGAAGTAGCTGTGTGCGCAAAAGCTTTGGGATGCGTACGTCGGTGGCGTTCAGCGCGAGGGGCCGCTGAGTCTTGGGCTCCTCCGTGGTGCCCTCGTCCTCTGGCAGTAATGTACGCTCAGCTTGCCTGAGGATCGCAGTAGTGATGTGGTTTTCGATTCCAACTGCTGAGCCATGCATGTCTTTGCGCTTCAGGAGCGCATCGCCAGTCTTCCAGATCCAGCGGCACAGACCTTCCCGAAGAGCATGATGCCACCAGCCTGAGGGATGCTTGCAGGTGTAGATTAACTGGCCATGACCACGCTTGGAGTGATCAAAATCTGGCCAATTCCGACCAAGATCGCCACATACTTCTTTGATGCGTGCCATCGGTCCTTCAGCATTCGCTTTTTGTTTTGCGCATGTCATGTCCCCTTCGCGCCTGTTGGCGCACGAGTGTCCAACGTTGCTTAGCCCTCTGGAGGAGCCGTGCAGCACGCGGACTGGTCAGCAGACGTCGTGCTACGACATTTGGCTGTTGGGTTGCAATATGTATGAGATCCAAGGCATGGCCCTTCGTGGTCAGGGTAAGCGTCACCGCGGGAGATCGGCATGCCTTTTCCATTATACCACTGCGATCCCATGATAGCTGAGCGAAAGTTGTTGTAGTTGTGGCGCGTGAGCTTCCGAAACTCAAGGCCAGGTGCTAGTCTTGGTAGAGATGCCGATGCTAGTAGTCGTTGCTTCTCTCGTCGGCCGACTGGCGCTGCTCCCGCCCGACGCGCAGCTCGACATGCTGACGCATATCTCTGGCGCCGCTGTCGCGGCGGACGTGCTGCGAAGGATGCAACATCACCGCCCACTAAGACACAGCGTCTAGTAAAACGTACCCCCAACCCACTCGACGCCATCGTCCTCGAAAGCTCCTGCTCAGCTTTCGCCGAGGCGGCGCAGTGGGAGGTATGTGTTTCCGGTTGGTTTCGGCGCCGCTGTACCTGTCGAACTCCAAGGACGTCTGGGTAGCACGCGCAATACATAATGCATGCTGAGGTCCATCAGAGCGAAAGTTCCCATCATCAATGAGACTGTTGACGCAAGCAGGACCTTCAGCCTCGACGGCAAGAGACCATATTGTCATCAATGCGAGCGCCTGCTGGAGAGAACAGCTGTCGCCCTGCACGTACCCATTTCGCCTGATAGTAGATGGTCTAACAGCCCGTGCCACCTTCCATCTGATAGCGAGCGCAGAGTAGGAAGATGCTCAGCACGTAAGGCACCATATGGAACTCCGAGCGCACGCATCAAGTTGTCGTCGGTATCAGATTCCAACAAGTCAAGGAACTTCTTCCTGTCCGCTGCGCACCCTGACATAGCAGCACCCGTCAGATGCGCATGTTCAATCTCGAGGTTGAGCTCCCAGGCAATCGCCTGATAGCGATGGCCCTGTCGTACTCTTGCCGCTCCTTGGTGCAGCAACTTCTCCCGCCACTCGGACATCTGCTTGATGCGCTCTCCTGAGAGGGAAGTGTAGACGGGGCTGAGATTCGTGATGGGACGTGTCTGATCAACGCTGGCCAACCACACTTCATGCTGCGTGATCTGCTGCTGCGTGATCTGCTTCTGGGCCCCACTTCGGCAGGCCGCTGACGA